AAAAAAAAAAAGAGATTGGCTGCTAACCAAAAGGTTGGCAGTTCAAATCCACCAGCCACTTCTTGGAAATTCTATGGGGCAGTTGTACTCTGTCCTGTGGGGTTGCTGTGCATCGGAATCAACTCAACAGCAATGGGTTTTTTTTAATGGATAAAGGTTGTCTGTACTCATCTGTTCTTATTATCATCTGGGTCTACTGTAGTTAAACTTTACCAGCCAGACCAAAGAAAGAGCATTTGTCCCAGTCATGATGACATCCATGTTCCCAAGCCCAATGGTCAGTTCCTGGTCCTTATTATTTTATTCAGTTGACCTCTTTCTCCCCCTTTGTGCCCCTCTCTCCTAGTCTTGCCTGGTTTTCTCTCTAGCTGACTCTAGTCCCTCTCATCTCCTTTGAGGCTCCTCCTACTCTCTGTGACCTCTATATATTGGAGCATACCAGAGCTCAGTCTTCTTGCTTCTACTTTCCTTTATTCACATTCACTCATAAGGTTTCCATCCATTCTCTACTTTGGACAATATCTATATGCTGAATTCCAAAATTTTGTCTCTAGCCCAAACATCGCCCCTGTGATCTTGATTTGTAGACTTGGCTTTGTTCTCCGTCTTCCCCTCTTTCATGTCGGACGGGCATGTCTAACCCAACATGTCCCAAACAGCAGCACTGGTTTCACCTCCTACATCTGCTTCTCCTCCTGTGTCCCCGTCTCTGTACACGGCACCTCCAGACTCCTATTGTTCACACCAGAAGTGTTAGAGTAATGCTTGATTCCCCTCTCCCGTACTCAATAGCCAAGTCATCCGCAAATCCTCCAAAATGGATCCCAGGTCTGCCCATTTCTCAACACTCCATCCAAGCCAGTCTCTCTCTCACTTGTTCGAGTGCAATAGCTTCCTTTTCTCCTCTGCTTTTTTTAAAAATGAGGTGAAATTCACATAACATGAAAGTAACTATTTCAAAGTGTACCATTCAGTGGCGTTTAGTATCTTCACAACATTATGCAATCATCATCTCCATCTAGTTCCAGAAATTTCCATCACCTGAAAAGAGAACCTGTACCCATTACATACCCACCACCCATCCCTCTCCATTCTCCAGCCCCAGGCAACCACGAATCTACTTTTTGTCTCTACAGAATTAGCTATCCTGTATATTTAATATGGAAACCCTGGTGGCGCAGTGGTTAAGAGCGATGGCTGCTAACCAAAAGATCAGCAGTTTGAATCCATGAGCTGCTCCTTGGAAACCCTATGGGGCAGCTCTACTCCGTCCTACAGGGTCACTATGAGTTGGAATCGACTGGAGGGCAACGGCTTTTTTTTCTCTTTTTTTTTTTTTTTTCCTTCTTCCTCTTTACAAAGCAAAGGAGATTCTCTCCTTGCTCCAGAATGCAAATATTTCTTGAGACCAAACCAGGTGGTCCTTGGAAACCGTATGGAGCAGTTCTACTCCGTCCTATAGGGTTGCTATGAGTCGGAATCAACTCGACGGCAATGTGTTTGGTTTTGGTTTACATTTAATATAAACAGAATCATACAATATAATGGCCTTTTGTGTGTGGTTTCTTTCACTTAGCGTAATGGTTTTTCGGTTCATCTACATTAGCATGTATGAGTACTTCGTTCCTTTTTATGGCTGAATAATAATTCGTTGTGTATATATACCACATTTTGTCTATCTGTTCATCTGTGGATGGACATCTGTGAATAATGCCACAAAGAACATTGGTGTACAAGTATCTGTTTGAGTCCTTGCTTTCAGTTCTTCTGGGTAGATACCTAGGAGTGGAATTGTGGGGTCATATGATAATTCTGTGTTTTACTTTTTGAGGAACTGCCAAACCGTTTACCACAGTGGCTCGCAAACCAGCTGCTTAACTGGTCTTCCTGCCTCTATTCGATGCTGCCCAAACTGTCCGGGACAATCAGAGGGCTTCTTGTCTTACTGATCTCCCTTGCACATTCCTCCTCAGTCACAGTGAACTTTCTGTCGATCTGTCTGTTCCCACCTAAGGACCTTCACGTCTGCTCTCCCCTGGCTTAGAAGCCCCGGATTGTGTTTCCCTCACTCCTTGACTTCTGCAAGTCCCTGTTAAAACTGAAAATCTTCCCAGAGCACTTCCCTGACCACGCGCCATAGAATAGCAACACCAGTACTGCCCAAACTCCATTCCTCTATTCTCTAGAATGACTTCTTTCCTTCCTTCCTTCACCCCTTTCTTTCTTCCTCCCTCCTTCCCTCCCTCCCTCCCTTCCTTCCTTCCTTTCTGTATTCTCTCTCCCTCCCTCCCTCTCCCTCTCTCTTTTTCTTTCTTTCTTTCTTTGGCATACTTATCAATATACCAAATTTTAAAGTTTGTATGTTTTTTCATTTGCTTACTGTTTGACTTCAGGCAGCCTATTAACTTTCAAAGGCCCAATTGTCTTATCTATAAATTGGGTATAATAATAAGCTCCAGCTCATAAGATGGTTGAAAGAATCTTGACACATAGTAAAGCTCAATCCATCACCACCACCCATTGCCGTCGAGTCGATTCCGACTCATAGCGACCCTATAGGACGGAGTAGAATTGCCCCATAGGGTTTCCAAGGAGCGACTGGTGGATTCAAATAGCTGACCTTCTGGTTAGGAGTCAAGCTCTTAACCACTGCACCACAAGGGCCTAATAATTGCTGGGTAAAGTCTTCTAGGAGCCCTGCTAACCAAAAGGCAGATGGTTGTAAACCACTAGCAGCTCCTCTGGAGAAAGATGTGGCAGCCTGCTTCCATAGAGATTTACAGCCTTGGAAACCCTACGGGGTCACTATGAGTCGGAATCGACTCTACGGCAGTGGGATTGGTCTAAGAGGGCAATGCTGGTTCAGTGGTAGAATTCTTGACTTTCATGTCGGAGACTCAGGCTCGATTTACAGCCAGTGCACCTCAAGCACAGCTGCCACTCATCTGTCAGGTTTCAACAGAGCTTCCAGACTGAGATGGACTAGGAAGAAAGGCCTGGCAATCTACTTCCCAAAATCAGCCAGTGAAAACCTTGTGGATCAGAACAGTCCAATCTTGTCGTACAGAGGGTCGCCATGAGTCAGGGGCCGACTAGATAGCAGCTAACAACATCTTCTAACATAATATACTTCCACCTTGGCTTCATTTTATCCTACCAATCAAATAGGCCAGGAATAATGATGAGAGCTAGATAAACAGATACACATATTGTAGTGTGTTCCTTAGTAACTGTAAGCAATTCAGATATTGAATTCTGTGATTTCATAACTTCCGTCTGTTTATGTTTTCAACTCTTTATTGAGCACTGAGTCCCTTAAATGTCTGAATATTATCGGGGGGGACAAAAAGCAGGTAAAAGTTGAAAATGGTTGCCTCTGTTAAGCGGGCATTGGGGGTGGGGCAGGTGTTGGCATCTCTTTGTTATAACATCAGTACTATCAGACGTATTACGTTGATAGAAATGAAATTGAATTGAAAAAGAGAAAAGACTGGAAGGAGATACAGTGACATGTTAACTGGGGCTCTCTCTGGGGGTTGAGATTTTCGGCTATTTTTATTTTTTCCTTCCGCTTTCTAAATCTGCAGAATGGTCCAAACTCTATTTATATGGTTTTCATAAAGAAAAACAGTAAGTGTGCTTTAATATGTTGACTGGTACCGGAAGACTAATGGGAGATTGCTCGGACGTGTTTTTTCTACATTATACATTGAAACGTAATTCTCAGGGCAAAGCAGAGCACATAGCAGTCTGGGTGTGAGAACTTGGCGACGGTCACGGGCATTTGGGGCAGAGAAGGAGGCCTGAAGCAATGTAAAAACGATAAATGGGATGGGAGGATGCTCACGCTATACTGATTGCTAGCAGACTGGTGCTAGAACGAAAGAGCAAACGCTTTGGAAGACGGCAGGGTGTTTGCAGAGGGGCAGTCAGAGCTGCAGCCGAGTGGGCAAAGGAGAGACAGTTTCAGGGTCCTCTCACATTCTGAGCATCATCTTTTCATTTAAATAAAAGCATTTGGCCAAAGCCAATTTGCAAAGGACGGTTCAGTCAACATTTGGGAACAAAAAAGCGGCCCTAAAAGCTGCCATCCCTGTCGCGCCGTCTGGCGGCAGGAGGAGGTGTGTCTTAACTGGCGCCTGTCTGTGTTAACCTGGACGATGGTGCCGGCGCCGAGCTCCGTGATCCGTTTTGACACATTGCTGAAGTGTTTTGCAAATTCAAATGCTTGGAACTTCAAAATGTCAGGAGATGAAAAATCGCTCCCCCCCCCCCCCCCCACTTAACAGGCGCGCGCTGTCTTTTGCAGGATGGATGGTCACAGTATCACTTTGTAGCCTCATCTTCTACCATCGAGAGGGATCGGCAAAGGCCCTACTCCTCCTCCCGCACGCCCTCCATCTCCCCAGTGCGCGTGTCTCCCAACAACCGCTCAGGTAAGCAGACTCGGGTGTGGCCAGGCCTCCCAGCCCCTTAACTGAGCCCACACAGAGGGGAGGGTCCCGGGCCAGACTTTGGCTGGAAATATGAAATGAGTCTGGTTTCCTGTTACTATGGTGACGACTTTGTGCTTCGTATACAGAGACTTAAGGGGCCCTGGTGGCACAGTGGTTAATAAGCACTTGGCTACTATACAAAAAGTCGGCGGTTCAAACCCACCAGCAGCTCCACAAGAGAAAGACCTGGTGTAAAGATACAGCCTAGAAAACCCTCTGGGGCAGTTCTACTCTGTCACATGGGGTTGTTATAAGTTGAAATTGACCCAGTGGCACACAGCAACAACACACACAGACCCAGAACAGCCCGTATGTCCTTGACAAGTTTCTCAGGAGTTCCCTGGTCAGCTGGATCTGGGTTCAGTGAGGAGCATAAAGAAAACTGGAAATCAGGGCTTTCCATGGATGTTTTTCCAACTTAAAATTGCTTGCATTGCATTTTATTTATTATCATTGGGGTAAAAGAGTAGGAAGGAGCCCTGGTGGTACAGAGGTTGAGCACTTGGCTGCTAACTGAAAGGTCGGCGGTTCAAACCCACCCAGTGACGCTGTGGAAGAAAGCCCTGGTGATCTCCTCCCTTAAAGAAAACTCTGTGGGGCAGTTCTGCTCTGTCATATGGGGTTGCCGTGAGTTGGAATCCACTGAATGGCACCAGCAATACCGGAGTGGCGGAGAGAGGGTGCGCTATTTCCTCGCTTAGTGTGACACATTTGAAATCTATCATTGAGGATGTCATGACTAGTCCATATCCAATTTGCCTTTTACTGTGACTTGTAAACCAACAGCTACATTGTTGATACCTGCTTACTACAACCAACTCTTTTAAGGCATTTCATTTTTTTTTCTCATTTTCTCACATTCCTATTGCTTTCATGTTGAGTTTCCTTCTTTTATTTACTTAGAAAATATACTTTATTTTTATATCCTTTTTGTCACATTGAGTAATGCCAAAGATTAGAGAAAAAAATTAAAGGCAAATTATGAACATATCATTTAGTAATACAAGTGGCATGGGTTTTTGAGTTGTTGGCTCAAGCCTTCATTTTTTAAAAATCTTTTCTGCATTTTTTATTTGTGTTCTGAAAATGAAGGATGGTGTCTTCGTTATCATTCTGTCTCAGTTATCTAGTGCTGCTATAACAGAAATACCACAAGTGGGTGGCTTTAACAAAGAGACATTTATTCTCTTACAGTCTAGGAGGCTAGAAGCCCAAATTCAGGACACTGGCTCCTGGGGAAGGGTTTCTTTCTCTGTCGGCTCTAGGGAAAGGTCCTTGTTATCAATCTTCCCCTGGTCTAGGAGCTTCTCAGCACAGGGACCCCAGGTCCAAAGGACACGTTGTACTCCCAGCTCTGCCTTCTTCTCTGTCTGCTCCCTTCTCTCTCCTTTTATGTCTTGTAAGGTAAAAAGTGATGCAGGCCACACCCCAGGGAAACTCCCCTTACATTGGATCAGGGCTCTGACCTGAGTAAGGGTGTTGCATCCCACCCTAATCCTCTGTAAACAATCTAATCTTGCCTTATCAACCACAGGCAGAGATTAGAATTTACAACAAATAGGAAAATTTCATCAGATCACAAAATGGAGGACAACCACACAATACTGGGAATCATGGCCTAGCCAAGTTGACACATATTTTGGGGGGACACTACTCAATCCATGACAGATGGATAATTATACACACACGGGTGCATGCACACACACACCTACACACCTACCTCTACGAGCTTTCATTTAGGGAAGGTTTCTCCCTCCTCTTCCCTTCCCCCCCTTGCTGAGGAAATAATATTTTCTGAAACCGATTCTCAGGAAACATGGTAGAGAACATTCCCCAGCACAGTGGCCTTTCTGCCCTTGAGGTTTGTGATAAAACTTTTCACAAGACTTTACTGTCTGAATGATGAGGGAAATCAGAAATGAATGGGGGGCATTTGACAGAAATAAATTACCGTCTCCCAGCCACATGAAAGTTGTATTTCAGTGTGTTATTATTGCTTATAACATTAAGTCCAACACTAGACAAGAATCCAGAAACCCCGAGTGACTATGGAGAAACTTCTGCCTATCTGAGAATTGAGGAGGTGGCCTCTTATTCTGCCTGTTTCCATAATTCTGTTGTTGTTGTTAGGTCCCATCAAATTGATTCCAGCTCATAGTGACCCTATGTGACAGAGTAGAACTGCCCCATAGGGTTTTCTTGGCTGTAATTTTTACACGAGCAGATTGCCAGGTCTTTGTCCCACAGAGGCACTGGTGGGTTTGAACCAACAACCTTTAGGTTAGCAGCTGAGCACTTAACCATTGCACCACCAGGGCTCCTTTCCATAATTCTAGCAGACTTAAAAAGATAAAGAGTGTTGAGTCAGTAAAGCATAAGGAGGGTGTCTCTTTAAAAGCTCTAATTATTAAGAATGACAGCGAACCAATCTGTGTTATGAAAAGGAAATGATATAATAGGTTGGAAGGTGCTTGGAAAGAGGGAAAGCACTCTGTCAGGAACAGTGAGGGCTGTTGCCACCCAGTCGCTCAGGTAGAGTGTTGCCTTGGTATTTCCAAGGCTGAACACATCGAAGCCACCAAATAGACACTTGTTTAGGTGATGGGATTTTTCCCAGAGCACGGTTCTGGTGGACTGGAGACTCAGAGCACCACCGTGTGTCAGGTCTCTGGAGATAATTACACACTCGAAGTACTTTAATAAACACCACCATCTGTGCAATATTAGATTCTAATTTTAAAAGCTTTGGTCAGGAGACTGTAAAATATTCTCCTTTCATGATGGTCTGGCAGTGTCTCATCAAAGCTAGCCTTTGTGTGAGAAGACCCAGAGGCAAAAGAGCAAGGACAGGAGAAGGGAGTTTCCTGGAAGAAGCAAGACCATGAGGAGGGGGAAGAAGGTGGAGGAGGTGAATGAGATGTGGGTGGCGATGTTCTGGGAGCAGGTAGGGCTGGACCTCCAGCACCGTTGATTTGGGGGCCTTGTGACGGAATCAGTTGTTCTTGCAGAGGCCCCCCTTTAAGCACCAGAACCCCAATTCTTAATGAGTTGCAGTGGCCACCCTGCACATGTCCCAGGCCCCCTCATTCTCTCCCTCCCCGGTACCTACTCCATCAGGAACAGAGATGGCTATGTCTTAGATCTTTCTGTCCTCTGCTCCCAGCCAGTGGCGCTGTTCCCTGAAAGCAAAGTTTTGGCCGTCTCTTCTCCACCTGCAAAGGCTCCCCAGATAGCAGGGAGATTAAACACTGGTCAAACCTTTGCATTTTGAGGTTTGTTCGCAAGTGATGAGAGCCGCAAGGTGTCCACACTGATGTGGTTCTCGTCCCTGGCTGCCCCACGGATTTATACCCTGAGAACAGTGCCAGCCAGTTATGGATGGAGCTCAAGCAACGCTGTTTTTCAAAGGATTCCAGGTAGTTAATTCTGATGGGCGGCCAAGATAGAAAACCCTGGAGAGCTTCAAGAGCTGAGCAGCGAGCCTGGGTTTTGTTTGAATCATTTTGAGAAGTGAGTGGAGGGCCTTATAAGAGGTAAGGAAAGTGTAGGCAAGGCCTTTATCTGTTTACTTTCAAAGTATTGAGCCGTTACTTACCTATCACTTACTGCCTCTGTGTCTTACTCTAGTTTATTTGCGCGTCCATTTCCACACGTGCTTGAGAGGTAGATTTCAGAAGCGGTGGCATGATTCACGTTCTGTCTCCTGCATGTCTATTGTTGTTATTATTGGGTGCCATCAAGTCGATTCCAACTCCTAGTGACCCCATGTGACAGAGTAGAACTGCCCCAGAGGAACAGAGCTGCTAGTGGGTTCAAACCACAGGCCTTTTGGTTAGCAGCCAAGTGCTTAACCATTGTGCCACCAGGGCTCCTTCCTGGGTGTCTAGCACATGAATTTGCATCTAGAAGATGCTAAGTTTGACAGAGTGACTCAAATGCCTCAGAAAGTGGAAAAAGAGGGTCCCTTCAGGGAGCAAGCAGGCCCAGGGGACTGGATCTGTGTGAAAGATAAGCTTGAAGGTAAACTGAGACCTGGTCAGGGAGGGGCTTGGACACTAGCAAAGAGAAGTGGGCTTTATCCTAAAAAGCAGAGTGTCCCAGGATTCCTGTTGTTGTTGTTGAGTGCCATCAAGTCGATTCCAACTCATAGAGACTCCATGTGACAGAGTAGAACTGCTCTGTAGGGTTTTCTAGGCTGTAATCTTTACAAGAGCAGATCGCCAAGTCTTTCTCCCCCAGAGAAGCTGGGTAAGTTGAAACCACTGACCTTTCGGTTAGCAGCCACTGCACCACGAGGGCTCCTTCCAGGATTCCTAGTCCTAATAATTTCCAAGTATACTTGTTAAATACCGATTCCTATGCCCCTACCCTGAAGATGCTGACGCAAAGTCCAGGCATCTGTGGGGCCCTGGCATCTCTGCGTTCCCAGGCAGGCCTTCTGGTTCACCATGTCTAGGACGCACTGCTGTGGGGCCAAGAATCTGGGGAAGGCTTTGGTGCAGAGGACTTCAGTGCCTGAGGTGGATGCAATTGACTAAGCTCTGAATATGAGTGGCATCATTTAGGAACAAGGACATTGATATGAGGACAGCGGATGGATGGGTTGCCTACCTGGCCATCTGCTTACCGGCACACACACTTATCATGGCTGTATCACATGTTCCACTCTGTTTCTTCCAACACATCTCTACACTAGCAGGGCTGTTCAGTTGCTACCTGATCGATTTGATTTTTTAGAACTAAACCTCTTTTAGTGTGCTTCCTTATCTCCAAGTCCAGCTTTTCCCCTATTCTGGTACCAGTTTGTTAGAGTCCTGTAATCTCCTAGGGGAGCCTTCCAAGTACAGCTGAACATTTTAGGAATGGGGACACAGAGGGATTGCAGAGCTCATTCACTGGGTCCGATCACCAGCAAGTGGCTGCGGGGTAGCGTGGTGAGAGGTTGTTGGGGTGTTCTTCCAAAGAGCTAAAGCAAGGATGCCCTATCAGGAAAAGCAGCTGTCTTTACATCCTGTCCCGAGCCCACGCCAGCAGGCTGATGGAGAAGATCTCAGTGGGGTTGGTTATTTCAGCCCCACAGACCACCCTACATGGAGAGTTGCTTTCTCGCCTTCCTTAGGGCAATTTCTGGGTGATGCAGTATCTAAGTAGAACTGTGTTTATTTTGATTAGGGATTCTTTCATATAGGTGATACCTCCTCTGAAACACATCTAATTAAAAAGGAAGGAAGGAGGAGAAAGTAGGCGGGAAAGAAGGGTGAGGGAAAGGAGAGGAAGAGAAAGAGAAAGAAAGAAACCATGGCGGGTCTCATTCTTAAAACTGTCCCATACGCCTTGGGCAGGTCATATTCCCACGAGGATGTCTGTCTACAAAAAACAGGCCCTGGGATATATCCCTTCATTACCAGCCTCCAAGTCACATGTCCCCTTAACTGTAAAGCACCAGATGTCATTGGGTGAGGGAAGGGGAGGTGAAGACAAGAGCCAAATCTACCAAAAAATCACAAGGTCCACACATAGATGTTGACACGCGAGTATTTGAAACCTTGGTGGTTTTTGTGAGATTGACGTGTCATGCAACGAGAAACAGAAATTGTCCCTTTGACTTCTTTATTTAGCAAGTGCCCCAGCCTCACCTCGGGAAATGATCAGCCTCAAAGAAAGGAAAACAGACTATGAATCTACTGGCAGTAATGCCACTTACCACGGAACTAAAGGAGAACATGCTTCCCGGAAAGACACCATGACAGGTGAGCTTGGTGGGTGCTTCCTCTCAGAGCTGGCCACTAGATCTGGGATGGGGCAGAGGGCTGGGACAGCAGGCTTCAAGCTGTCCTTTGCAGCTCAGCAGGATGTCACAGCTCTTGGGTCACCTGAGATCCTGATAGTGAAGTTTCCCAGGAGTTAGAAATGAGGCGATTAAGCCAGTGGTATAAAAACTGAGCGTCTTATTCCTGAGAATAGCTAAGAGAGAACATGTTCTCAACACATGTTTTATTCTCAGTCTTTCTTTACCTTGCCCCTTCTTGCTTTCCCAGCTCCAAACATTCCATCAAATTCGAGAGAAGAGTCAGCATCGATGTAGCCCCTGGTGGAGGGGATCCCAGGATGGTGGGTGGAGCATATCCAGGCTTTGTCCCTTAGGAAGGAAGGGAAGGGAAACGAAGCAAAGCAGAGTAAGAAGATTTCAGGGAAACCCACAGACTCCTATTGAGACAGTTTTTGCTCTTGCAGTGATGCCAACCCCTTACTGTGGCAAACTCCCAAGAAGTTTCATCAGAGCCAATGCCCACCCCTTCCCTAAGGAGGCATTGATCTTCTATGTCCTTCATCCATCTCTGCCTCAGTCACACCCATTGACTCTCCCGTCTCATCAGCTGGGACTCCAGGGAGGCCGTAATGGGTGCCTCTTGGCCACCCACTCCAGCTTGTCCTGCCCACCTTGTCTAATAACCTGTCTTGACCTTAACTCGCCTTACACTCCAGACAACTCTCCTTGGGGCAGGGGCTGCTGTTCCCATTCACGACCCCTCCAGGCCCTCCACCCCTCTGTTCAGCCCCTCCTCCAAGAAGCTGGACTTGGAGGTATTACTCCCGGGGGGTTATGCTTTGAAAGCAGTGTTGCCAGAGCCAACAGGACCTATATCAGGGGATTCCACACCTCTCTTAGCCATATGTACATAGAGAATGGGTCCTTCCAGATAATAGGCCATGAGGAAATAGGACTTCAATAGAGCTGGGCCAGATTAGGTCATGTGCAGTATCAGGGCGCAAAGAGTGCAGCCCTACACGGACACCCAGGCCCTCTTGTCAGAAGAATCTTAAAAGCACAAGGGACATTTTCTCTGATATGATTGAGTTTGGGGCCTGCAGGGAAGCCAAATAGACAAATGGGATGATTTATTAAGAGCTCTTCCAGACCCAGGAAGTCTGAGATACATTTTTCTGATGGTAAATGTATTTACCCCCGAGGCAGTGTTTAACTCTGCACAGCTGAATAAAGCAAAGCCTAACAAACAGACATTTCTGATCCCCACCCCCAAGTCAGGACGCCCCTCCAATGCAGCACCTGCAGGGGGCATCTTGCCCTGACTCCTGAACCGCTCCTGAATGGGAGTCCTGAAAGCACTGTGTGGGCTGTAGCTTAGTATTCTCATTCACGGTGTTTTTCCCGTAAGTGTCGCCTTACTCATAGATGAGCATGGACAATGATAGGAGTCTGAAAGCTGAGTCCCTAGAGTCGAGGCATTTGGTGGAGAATCTAATTTGTACCAATTACTTCGAAGCAGTAGTGACACCCAGTTCACCTGACCCATTAATTTTGCACTTAGCACTGCCCCATGCAGCCATATCACCATCAGTGATGACAAATTGGGGCTATAATTACAAGAATTGTGAATCTGACTGTGTTATTATCATTTAAGTTTAATTTTTCTTTTACATTCTCTTGCCCAGTAGAATTACTCAAGGCTTTTAAATGTGGGTGTGTTTACGTTGAAATCATTCCAGTGGTGCAAGAGTGTGCTCTGCACATGAAATAAAAAATAAAACCTAACATGGTCCTGATGTTTAATCTTCCTAGTACATGGCAGGGATCTTGACAACCCCAATATTGAAATAGATCTAATTTTTCAAACTTGTTTAGAGGCTTAAACAGCTTTGCTCTAACTTACTTAAAAATGCAGTTCAAGACTACAGTAGCAATCATGTATCGAGCCTAAACGAACATTGAGATCTTTAGTGAATAATACGTTTATGTAAGAAAATTCCTTTTTAGCCGATAAGTGCTGTGTAAATGTCAGTTATTATTATCCAGGGCTTCGACCGCTGAGAACCCTGCTGAAAATTTGCATTTCTAACAAGTTCTCTACTGAGAAGTTGCATTTCCACCCCCAGCTATGCTGAATCAGAATCTACAGTGTAACAAGCTCTCCAGGTGATTCTTATGTATAACTTCCTAGGAACTTGTTCGAAGTCCTGTTATTATCACAGTGATGGTGGTGGTAGTGGTGGTGGTGAAACTGGTGTGGTGAAGATGGTAGTGGTAGTCATAGTGGTTTTGGCAGTGGTGAGGATGGTGATGGTAGTGGTGACGACGGTGGTGGTGGTGAGGGTGGTAGTGATAATGGAGGTAGTAGTGGTGATGATGGTGATGTTAGTGGAGAAACTGATGGTGGTGGTGGTGAAGATGGTGGTAGTAGCGATGGTAGTAGTGAGGGTGAGGGCAGTGATAGCAGTGTTGGTGATGGCGGTAGTGGGAATGATGGTGGTGGTACTAGTGATGGAGGTGGTAGCTGTAGTGGTGGTGGTGAACCTGGTTGTGGTGGTGAGGGTGGAGGAGGTGGTAGTGAGGCTGGCGAAGGTGATGGTGGTTGTAGTAGTGAGGGTAAATGGTGGGAGATAGGCAGATGGTTGTGTTTACCACCTTCTACAGTAGGATGAGTAAGTTCCCAGCCAGTGGGGAGCCAATATGGCATATAGGAAGGGAAAGGTTGAGTTGCCAACCTCTGCTTTCCAACACTTGAACAAACACCCACCCTTCCAGAGTTTATTTGCAAATTAGATTTCTTGTGGCCTGCACATCAAAAATAGTACTTTTTCCTCATTCAAGAATAAAGCTAGGGGACACTTGAAGTTCAATGCACTGGAAACAACCTGAAAAACTGCCATCTTCCTTGTTTCTAAGGCATCAAAGGATGTCCTGCCATTTCCCCCCTAACGAAATATCGCCTGTGCTGTGGGGCAAACATGAGAAACTTCACCCTTAAAACACAGCACGTGAAAGCCTAACCTGGAAGCAGTTCCTTGCCTGGGTTAGCATCTCCTCTACTTAGCTCTTAGAAACTCAGATCCGTCTAGGTTTTCTTTCCAGGCTTGCCCCTACCCACCTTTTCTGAATCCATTTTCCAGCTTAGAGTCTCTTAAAATGCCTTCTCTCCTTAGTGTTTCTCGACCTCTGAGGAGCTCTCAAAAAGCAAAAGTCGGCTGCTTATTCAGCCATGTCAGACTTGTGTGGCTATTTCTTGCCGTCATGATTCCCTGGAAACATTACGTGTTCAGAAGCACGCATAGAGGAGGGCTGGGGGATCCTAGCAGCTACACAGCCTGACTTTTAAATGCCTCCAGGGGATTTTGCCCTCTCACCTGAACTTCCCGAATGCCTTTTCATCAAATGGTATATTCCATTTTGTCAGTGTATGTCTTAGGCCTTTTAAAGCTGTTCTAATCTTCAAAATGTTGATTAAGTTGGAAATTGGGAGTTGGAGGAATTGTACAAAAGAAAAGTTCCTTCTCCATGAGTCTACTCTAGGGTCAGACCTTCAAGGGCAAAGCATCTGTGAAAGTGGCTGCTTCAAGTGTCTGCACAGGCTGCAAGTTCAATCTCAACTACACCACTACCTGTAAATAGGCGCAGTGGGCCAAGAGTAGGAGGAAAAAAATTCCAGCAGAAACATCATTAGCTCTGAAACCTCCAGCATGGCAGGAAGGGAGGCCAAAACTATACTAATACAAGTTTTCTACTCCCCCAAATTGCCTATTATTCTAAGCAACAGAAAAAACAAAAATTCACCTTGTCCTCGAAGTGACGTTTTCACCAGCCTTTTACAGCTCTGCAGGCAGATTTATTTTAAGGTTCACTCATTCATGCACTCATTCAGCATATAAAGCACCCAATCTATGAGTATCCACTGTGGACCAGGCACTGTTGCAGGCTCTGGGGAGACATACAATGGTGGCAAGACAAATCCATCTCTGCCCTCATGGAGCTTCCACTCTAGTCGGTGAAGACAGGCAAGACACGAGTGAAAAATAGGACAGACATTCACCAACAGGGTGATGTCACATGGTATTGAGAATGATGAAGAAAACAAGGTAATGAGCAGAGGTGGTGGTGGTGTGGAGGGGCTGATGGAGCATGGAAGGGGATCACTTTAGCTCATGTGGTCAAGGAGGAGACATATGAACTGAACGCTCATCACTAACAAGGAGGCAGGGAGTCCAAAGTCTAGAGAAAGTGAGTCTCAGAGAGAGAGATCAGCAGGTACAACATCCTGAAGCAAAACAACTCAGTAGACTCCAGTGAGGGAAGAGGTCTGTGTAGCTAGGGCTCTGTTAATGAGGGGATAGAGAGTGGGTAATGTGGTAGAAAGGTAGGTAGGGGCCATATCATGGGGGGCCTCGCAGACCATCGTGGGGAGTTTGGGTTTTACCATCATCACAGTGGAGGGTGTTGGAGTATTAGGAGTATTATAAGCAGAGGGAGTGACATAATGTAATTTGTGTAATGAAATCATCATGCTGGCTCTTGGGAACGGGATGGACTGTGGAGCAAGGCTGGGCAGAAGGGAAGCCAGGAGATCATGGAGTCTGTGGTCCAGGCGAGAGATGGTGGTGTTCACAATAATACAGAGACAGGCGGGCTGTGCTTTCAGACCAGAGAGCATGTCAGAATGGTTTTCTTTTATATATTGAAAAGGGGCTCATAGCCCTCACTTCCTAAGCAGAATTTTCTAGCAAAAGTTTTATTGCACAGCTATTACGTGCTTTTAGGCGATAGGTTAATTTCCTAGGGTTTCCATAACAAAATACCACAAACTAGGTGGCTTATAAGAACAGAAATGTATTGTATCACAGTTCTGGAGGCTAGGAATCTGAATTCAGGATGTTGGCAGGGCTATGTTCTCTCCCAAGACTGTAGGAGAAGATCCTTTCTTGTCTCTCCAAGCTTCTGGTAGCCCCAGGTGTTCTTTGGTGGAGATGCATTTGCTTGTTGCTGTTATTCCTCTCTGCCTCTCTGGATCTGTTCTTTTCCCATATAAGGACACCACGCAGATGGGATTAGGATTTACCATACTCTAGTGCAACCTCACGATAACTAATAACATTTTCAAAGACCCTATTTCCAAACAAGGTCACTGTCACAGCTACCAGGTGTTAGGACTTCAACATATCTTTTTGGAGGACGCAATTCAACCCATAACAGGTAATAATTATGAATGAAGTGAACTTAAGCCTTGATAGGTTACACTGGTTTTGTGTCTGTATTGGCCTTGGATCTGTGAGTAGTGGATGCAGTGACATCCTCTTTCATTATCCTGCAGATGTTGTTGTTACTGCCATTGAGTTGGCTCCAACTCATGACGACCCCACACACAAGAGAACGAAATGCTGCCCAGTCCTATATCAGACAGTATTCTACAGTGATCCATGGGGTTTTCATTGGCTAATTTTAGGCAGTAGATCACCAGGTTTTCTTCCTAGTCTGTCTTACTCTGGAAGTCCTGCTGAAATCTGGCCACCATGGGTGACCCTGCTGGTATTTGAAATATCAGTGGCATAGCTTCCAGCATCACAGCAACACACAAGCCCCTGCAGTACAACACTGACAGGCAGGTGGTGGATCCATAGATACTAAAGCAAAGTATAAGCCCTTCTTGTTTCTAGAATGTTTCACACCCTACTGACAGAGCTTCCTTAAATCCATGACCATTTAGCAGCTATGTGGGGGGTGGAGTTCTGGGCCCTGTGAGCCTTAAGGGTTCCAGGTAAGGAAGTGGGCAGTGAGGCACTGCTGCCCAAGCCTTTGGAAGCTGCTGGCAAATGGAGGAGGCCTCTCTTCCCTTGTACCAGAGCAGAGGCCAGTCAGAAGGGGCTCCTGTCTCTGTACCTAATGGGATTCCAAAGCCACAGCCTCCAGATGCAAAGGGGAGATTTAGAGGGTGCTTCCTGTTCCTCCTCTGGGCCTTTGAGAAATGAACTGTCTGGAAGACGATCAAGCACTTTTGTGAGCTCAGATTAGAAATTTATTCTTGTCATTCTCCAGCTAAAAACTAAGCTGCTGATACAGATTCCCTCATGCTTCAGTACAGGTGACAAGCTTGTATTATCCGCCAGCTTCCACCAGCAACAAAGGCAATAAAACTTGCAAGATTACCATCTGTTTGCTGCACCTGCCCTAACCCCGTCTACAATGTGCACATTATGGCAAGAGGCTGACACATTTTGGGGAGTTTATAGAATAACTGTTCTTCTTTCTTCATATCTGTATATAAAATGGAGTGTTCAGAGCCAAGAAATTTCTTCCACTTCTCATGGCCCACCAGAAACCAAGCTTTGATAGGACAAGAAGGCGCCTTGATAACCGTGACTCCTCATTTGGAATCTGGCTTTTGTTGCTGATCGTTTTGTTTCCCTTTTGCTTTCAGCTCAAAATACTGGAATTTCAACTTTGTATAGGAATTCATATGGTGCGCCCGCTGAAGACATCAAACATAACCAGGTAAAGTCCATGCAACACGCTGGGATTCATTTGTTCGTTTGACTCGTGTAAAGTGTCTAACATACTGTCCTAATTTTGACACAAAGGGGGTCTGTGGGTATTATGGCTCGAGACGTGCGACTCACGCAGGAAGGCCAGAAAACGAACAGAATTTAGTACTCAGAGGTTCCAGAGAGGACACGGCAGAACGACCCAGTGCAGGGCCACACGGGGGTTGCACCCAGGGACAAGGCAACAGCAAGCTGGACTGTAGGAGAGCATTACCTATGGCAAGGAGGGTGGGCTCTCAGGGTGAGTGCGTGCTGAAGTCTTTTGGTCAGTTTAAAAGTTTTTAGTGTACTAAACACCAAAAACAAACCCACTGCCATCAAGTCGATTTGGACTCATAGCGACCCTGTAGGACAGAGTAGAACTGCCCTGTGCATAGGGCTTCCAAGGAGCAGCTGGCGGATTCTAACTGCTGACATTTTGGTTGGCAGTCAAGCTCTTAACCACTGTGTCACCAGAGCTGGGAAAAGGGGAAGTTTTAGTCATGGGAGCCCCAGTGGGGCATGACTGGGGAGGGGCAAGGAGTAACTACAACTGTTGAGAGACAAAGATAGGAATGGCTGTGTTAGAAAATGGGTTCAAGGGCAGCTAGGAGGAATGTATGGATGCTGAGGCTGTCAACTGGCCGCATGACATGTTCGTGAAGAGCTGGAAAGGATGACGTTCCCTGGCGTCCTCCCCTTACATGTAACACAGCACACATGTCTGTCGAGTGGTAGCAGTCAGCAGGACAGCCTGCAATTTGAATACAGTCTTTGGTTTCACTATGATGTCACACTTTATCTGGCGGTAAAGGAAGTTTTCTGCCAGTGGTGCAGACCTGAAAGAAAGTCCCAAATATACAAGTGTAAGATGCAGTAATCATTACTAGGCAGGGATTAAGTTGCTGCTGTAAGCCAGCCAACTCTTCTTAGGAGGAAAGCGTCCATTATACATCACAGTTACCAATAAATCAGACACGTCGAGTTAGATACAAACAGCCCGGTAGAATGCATTGGGGAGTGCCTTGCTATTCACAGTCTGGTTGGGGGGTACCGCAAGTACTAGCATCACCTGGGAGCTGGTTAGAAATGCAGGAGAGATTCTTCCCCAGCCTACCTGGATCTTCTGAAACAGTTTCATCTCATAGGAAGCCCAGGTGATTCATTTACAAGGTCATGTTTGAGGACAGCTGGGACGGGAGAGACTTAAAGAAACAATCTGAGTTTGCTTGTTTGTTTTATTCAGCAAGTCTTCATTGAAGGCATATTATCTTGGAGATTCCTTGGGAATTGTAAAAGCAAAAAGACACAGCCTCTGCCCTTGCATTGATCAACAACATTATACTTTTCTCTCCAGAGGTGGTCATCACAGAAAGACTGCGGCTCGTCATAGCTGCTATGAGTTATACTCATAGTATTATTATTATCATGGAATTACTGAATAATATTATCATACTGGACTATGTTTTTGTTGTTGTCAGGTGCCATCAGGTTGGTTCTAACTCATAGCAACCTTATATATGACAGGGCAAAATATTGCCTGGTCCTGTACCATCTTCACATTCATTGCTGTGTTTGAGCCTATTGGTGCAACCACTGTGTCAATCCGTCTTATTGAGGGTCTTCCTCTTTTCCGCTGGCTATGTTACCAAGCATGATATCCTTCTCCAGGGATTGGTCCCTTCTGATGACATGTCCAAAGTAAGTGAGATGAAGTCTCGCCATACTTGCTTCTAAGGAGCATTCTGGCTGTGCTTTTACCAAGACAGATTGTCTTATAGACTGTACTGTAGTACTATAATAGTTAGACTAGTATTATCATGGGAGTCCTGATGGCACAGTGGTTAAGAGCTACAGCTGCTAATCAAAAGGTTGGCAGTTCGAATTCACCAGCTGCTCCTTGGAAACCCTATGGGGCAGTTCTACTCTGTTCTGTATTGTTGCTATGAGTCAGAATTAACTCGATGGCAAAGGTTTTTTATTTATTTATTTGGTTTAGTATTATCATAGCACTGTTATTATCATAACTCATTATTGCTACTAATAACTCTTGCCAGAAGCTTTGGCTGAGGCTTTCCATTCCTGCCATGCATCAGGACAGTTGGGCTGAAGAGAGAAACGTGAAAGCTGCTGTCTTGCTCACCATAGCCATGTGATAGCAAACATAGTGTGACATCTTCATATGCACACTGTTGTTTGTGAACATCTTCCCAACACCCAGCAGGGAAGCGTCTTTGAAAAGGAAAGGGAACCCCCTTCTAGAGGGTAGAAATGTCCTGGGCAGATCCTCTCTGCAGGGCCGTATCCAAGGGAAGAACAAGGAAGAGAAGACACAACGTATCTCCTCCATCTTAAATAGTTTCTCTAATCAGCCATCAGCAGGAGAAATGATAGTGCACGGAGGAGTTCTCTTGCCTTCAGTTTTTTCAGCCCATATGCAGCCATGCTGGATGACATCCGTGTTGTTTTCAACCCCCTGGTGAACGCACAGGCCCTACGACCCACCTAATCGGTCTCAACTCAGCACGAGTCTTCGCTAAAAGCAAAGAGGCCAATGAATAAATAAATAGGGTCATGAACCCTAGACATGAGGTCACTGGGGCGGGTGGTCCCAAACTACTCATGTGACAGCATGTCTTCCCAAATATAAAAGAAAATAGAGGCAACATGTATTGGAAGAAGATACTTCGTTGATGGAAGTAAACCATTATCTTTTAGCAAATACCCTAAAATTCAGTAGGTGCAGGGGGCAAACCATCTCCAGCTCTGAAAGCTACTTGTCAGAGTGTGGTTGGATCCTGATTGCTCATCCAGGAGTGGAAGGCTCATCTTTAGGCTCCCTAGGTAGAGAGAAGCTTGTCACCAGCTTACAGTGCACCAGCCTGCCTTTCCATGGATTCCCACTCTGTTGGCACTGAAGAAACCCCGCAGTGCCGCCCAGGGGTCTTTGGCATTGCCTGCGCTAGGCTGGTGAGGATGGCTTGAGATTTAGATTTGGAGTTGTTGTTGTTAGGCACCGTTGAGTCGGTTCTGATTCGTAGTGACCTTGTGTACAGCAGAACAAAGCACTACCTGGTCCTGCACCATCCTCACAATTGTTGTTATGCTTGAGCCCATTGTCGCAGCCACTGTGTCAGTCCATCGCGTTGAGGGTCTTCCTCTTTTGCACTGACCCTCTACTTTGCCAAGCATGATGTCCTTCTCCAGGGACTGACCCCTCCTGATAACATGTCTAAAGTATGTGAGACATAGTAGATTCGGAGGGCAGTCTGTAATGGTTCTAAGGGGCATAACATTTTCACCTAAGTATGCTCCTTAGAAGCAAGGATGGTGAGACTACATCTCACATACTTTGGACATGCTATCAGAAGGGATCAGTCTCTGGAGAAGGGCATTATGCTTGGTAGCATAGTCAGCGAAAAAGAGGAAGACCCTCAATGAGATGGATTGACACAGTAGCTGCAACAATGGGCTCAAGCATAACAACGATTGTGAGGATGGCACAGGACCAGGCAGTTTTTCGTTCTGTTGTATGTGGAATTGCTATGAGTGGGAACCGACTGGACAGCACCTAACAACAAAGTATGTTTTGAGCAGTTCAGAAAATTAGAATTAATGCCTTGAGATGGCATCACTGAGCACAGCCTTGCGTGGTATTTTTCCCAGCATGCCCCAGAATGGACTCGACTCCACCTCAGCGTGGAATGTCAAGGCCACTGGGTCTCAGGTGGATGCTGAGGAAACCCAACACGGATGGAGAGCAAGCTGTGCCCCACTTGTCAGCCTCAGGGAGACATCATAGGCAGACCCCTGGCAGAGCTGAACCATGGTGATAGCAAAAAGCCCTCATTATTCCCGGAGGGGTCCAGTGGGCACTGGAATTGCTAATCCCAGCCTAGTCGCAACCAACATTTTAAAATATCCACTAAAGAGGTTTTTTCCTTTCCTAAATGTTTTTGCTAGGAAATCATTATGACTCTCCAGTGAACTTGGAGAAAAGGGAATAAAGCACTTGACTTTTTTTCAGTTATGTTATTGGAACAAATTTTCGTTTTACTTGCATCTTTCCCTCTCAGGAGCTCAATAAAGTCCTACCATTGCAACCATTTGAAAGAGGAGAAGGTTTGGTTCCCTTCCAGTTGGGTGTTTCTAAGATGGCCTTTTAAACAGCATCCATGATTTGGATTCTCTGGCTGTGTGGCTATCTCTGGCTGGCCATTCCAGATGGGATGCTTTGGTTTCAGAGCTCTCCTGGGCTAAAAGTGACCTCATGACCTCGAAGTGGGAACAGTCTAACCAAGAGGGATATGCAGGGGTTAATTCAATTTCCATGACTAAGCTTGTCCTCTGCTGAGTGCTGTAGTCTCCTAGGCATCCTAGCTTTCCAGTGGGGCCTCAAGGACTTCACGGAGAAGGACTGATGGTGACTGCCCTTGCGGAGGAAGCGATTCTCTGAGGGAGTAGAGTTTCAGATGGGTCCCTGAGATAAGGCAAAGGACAGTTAAACCTGAGAACAAGACAAGAGCACTGGCTGGATAGCCAAGTGTGGTAGGAGCTGGGGCAATAGCTGTAGACCAGGCTTGTCATGACTCACCAGAAGGGGGACCAGGTGGCTTCCCAGCTACATATAGCCCTCCCCATGGGACTGCCTAGGACTCTCATCACATTCTCAGTAAATACTCAAGTCCGTTGTTGTAGCCACTGTGTATTTTGATTGTCTTCCAATCTAGGGGGCTCATCTTCCAGCACTATATTGGGCAATATTCTGTTGTAATCCATAGGGTTTTCACTGGCTAATTTTTGGAAGTAGATCATCAGGCTTTTCTTCCTAGTCTTTCTTAGTCTGGAAGTTCTACTGAAACCTGTCCACCATGGGTGAGCCTGATGGTATTTGAAATAACAATGGCATAGCTTCCAGCATCGTAGCAACGTGCAGTCTACCACCATACCACAAACTAACAGATGGGTGGTGGAGACAGATAGACATAAACATACATACGTGTTAATTTATGGGTTAAACTAAGAAGAATATTAAACGTTGAACATGGTGCCTAGTGAAATAGGAACACAGTAAATCCTACGTAGTTTTTCCCAACCTCTCACTCTAACCCTCTGTGTCCTTTGTACTTGGGTAGCAATGCTGTATTGGAGGAGAGAGAAGGTAGACATAGCCCACGACTGTTCAAAGAATAGCAAAGAACACCTCAGCCCATCCACGTGGTTTAGTGGACCTGGTCTTAGCAACATTTAATTGCAGAATTCAAAAAATCTCTCTCATCCCCACGATCTTAGGCCAACAAATGTTGATGTTCTAAGGACTTCAGCAGGTAGAAAGAAAGCTCATTCATTCAGAAACCACTAACTAGAAGTGTGAGACATACTGGACAGCAGCTACGATGAAGTTCACCACTTCTATGAAGAACAGGTCAATTACTGGTATAAATAATGACATTTACAGGAGGGACTTGCACATATTTGAGAGAAGAATTATGCGCGGGCCATTAGAAGGTATTCATTTACACACAATGTGCTAATTACAAATCATCATCTATTAACTAAGACCAATTTCTACCGGATGTTTCCAGGCTGATCTTTAGTTAAATTAATAGGGAATTACCGAATCTCCTGGAAAGTGATCAAACGGTGTTTCTTTTAGCAGTGTTTTCTAATTCACACCAGACCTCCTCCCCATTAGTGCACATTAGCAGAGCTTTGTACATCCTGCTGTGTGCTAGCCTTGGGGATCGGCCTTACCCCATGTCTGGGGAGGTTCTGTTTACTGCAGGACTAGGGTGCCTGGGCAGGGACCCCAGAGGGAATCAGATGGGATGGGGATAGCTTGGCCCCCAGATACAGATGCTAATAAATATATAATCATGAACCATGAGCACTCTTCTTGCCATCCATAAAGCCAAGCAGTGGGAACTAATCCTTAGACTTCATATCCCGAAGGGTCCCATGATAAATTTAACCCTTCAAGGCCCCCTTCATCAGACTATAATCATCAGCGGATCATTGGGATTGGCTTGGAGACACCATACAATTCTTTTTCTTTCTTTTTTTTTTTTTTTCAATGGTGCTTTAGATGAAGGTTTACAGAGCAAATTAATTTCTCACTAAACAATTAATACGCATATTGTTTTGTGACATTGGTTGCCAACCCCGCAACGTCTCAAACAGGTTCCCCGTTTCCATTCGTCCGGCTTTCCTGTCCCCTCCTGCCTTCTCGTCCTTGCCCCTGAGCTGGTGTGCCCATTTAGTCTCATATACATGGTTGAGCTACATGTATTATTGTTTGTTTTATGGACCTGTCTAATCTGTGGCTGAAGGGTGAACCTCAGGAGTGACTTCAGTACTGAGTAAAAAGGGTGTCTGGGGGCCATATTCTCAGGGTTTCTCCAGTCTCTGTTAGACCAGTAAGTCTGGTCTGTTTTTGTGAGTTTGAGTTTTGTTCTACGTTTTTCTCCAGCCCTGTCTGGGACCCTCTGTTGTGATCCCCTTATCCCCGTCAGAGCAGTCAGTGGTGGTAGCTGGGCACCATCTAGTTGTGCTGGATTCAGTCTGACACCAGAAAGTTCTAAAGACCCTTTCCCTATAATCAAAGACACTATAATCACAGTATACTTGAGTTCAGACAGTCCTTAATTGAACCAAGTTTGGAAACACTTTGCTTTTCCAAAGTGTAAAATGCTTTGTGTGGACTCTCTCTTCTTATGTGCTTACCTGCTCATCTGTCTAGGACTCCAGTACCTAGTCACTTAAGTAGGGTGATGGGATAACCCTACTACCAGGAAGTGGATCAGGGACATATTGATCCCAGCCCTCTGCGCTGGCAGGAAGATGCTTGCCTGACCATTAGACCTTGTACATCTTCATTGTCTCTTTGAGCTTGCAACTCTTACGGGTAATACTGAAAATGCAGGAAAGATGAAAAGAAACGACTGTTTTCTAGCTGCTAGTCTATTTCTCTTTCATCAAGAAATATTATTTAGAACGATAGTGGGTGGACCCAGGAACCAGTTTTTGAAAGGAAAACCAAAGAGCATTTGGCAGTACTCGGAAGAGAAGCACCATAGCAGTGAAGGCGTGGGCAACACACGCAGCCTCATCTTCTTGGGAGGGAAGGTTTAGTGCCTTGGCAATGAGGGAGGTTGGGTGAAGGGGAAGCGAACTAACCAGCACCGATCTTCTTTTCCATGTAGGTTTCAGCACAACCAGTCCCACAGGAGCCCAGCAGAAAAGATTACGAGACCTACCAGCCATTTCAGAATTCCACGAGAAATTATGACGAGTCCTTCTTCGAGGACCAGGTCCATCATCGCCCTCCCGCCAGCGAGTACACCATGCACCTGGGACTCAAATCCACTGGCAACTACGTCGACTTCTACTCAGCTGCCCGTCCCTACAGCGAACTGAACTATGAAACGAGCCACTACCCAGCCTCCCCCGACTCCTGGGTGTGAGGAGCAAGGAGCAGGCGGGACGAGGCGCTCCGGGAGCCGTGCATGTGCATGCATATCACGAGACATTTCTTTTTTCCCCGCAAATTTAGTTTGTCAAAGCCTGTTCCGTAGGAAGGCTGTGATAACCAGTAAGGCAATCTTACGAGCTATTTTAGAGCGCTAAATGGATTGAAAGTTAACTTGGGAGTCTAATAGAGAACAAAAACAATCCTCAGTAGGACTGTGTGCAACAACGTTCTAGTCTGAGCTGTAGAGTATAAAAAGTGCTTTATACTGGACGTGGAGGAAGGAAGGAGAGAGGAAACGGTTGGGGTGGTGGGCCGTGAAGGTTATCGTTAAGCACAAGACACAGAATAGTTTACACACTTTATGGGGGACGGCTTCTCACACTTTGTTTAATCTCTTCATCCGTTGTGACTCTAGGCTTCAAGTTGCATTGGGGTTCCTCTGTACAGCAAGATGTTTCTTGCCTTTTGTTAATGCATTGTTGTAAAGTATTTGATGTACATTACAGATTAAAAAAGAAAAGTGCATTGTGTATATTACACCAATGCCACTGTGTTTCCTCATCTATGGTTCTAAATATTGCTTCGATTTCAACCTTTTGAAAGATGTATGGATTTCCAGTTTTTCTTTTCTTTTCTTTCTCCCAGTATGTTTTAACAAAAAAAACAAACAAACAAAAAAATCGGAGAAAAAAAAAAAGGAATATTTAGCAGTATTGTTCGTTCTGATATGTGAATTTGTTTGTGGCAACTAAACAAGGCATTCAGCAGTTTCTGACAATTAACATTCATCATTCCACACTCCTTGTCTACAAAGTGCTTTTTCACTGCCTAAAATTTTAGATGTAGATATTTGAAATAGATTTTTTCATTTATACCAGTTTTCTTTATGATGATACAGTGTTAAAAGAAAATAAATTACAATTGATCTGTCATCCATATTTACTAAGAATGTCTATTTCCAAGGATCTCTGACAAAAAACACATTCTTGCCTGTGTGTCTGTGCGTGTGTGAGTGTGTGTATGTCCACGTATGTATACAAATAACCTGTATGAGATTTCTTTTTTGATAGAAGCAATTTCATTTGCTGTTCATCTTGTACAAATTTTGTTTTTGTTTTTTAGTATAAATGTACATCGGTTTGTTCCTTTTGTACTATATCTACTCTTCTGACCATCTAGTGACTCAGGATATTAGGCCAGTTGAAGTGAAGTTATAGAATTTTCACGCATTTGCACATTCTTCAAAACCAACCCTTTCCACGGGGTCATCTCCTTCCGCATTTTATGCCCTCAGAACACAATCAACCATGGCCAAATCAATAATTTCACTTTGGGGCCAATTACTTGAAGTAGCCACAGAAAATGTCAATTGCTCACCTTACCCCCTCCCCAAATTTTTCTGTTCATGTGGCAGGCAGCAGTTGACAATAATGGATTAGATTATTAAAATTGAACTTGAAGCTAATGGTAGTATAGTGGTTCACAGAGCTGAGAAATGAGGCTAACCATTTAAAAGAACACGGGCGGGGGGGTGAATTAGCTTTGCTCTTTAGATGCAAGTGACTGAGGCCAATAGGTGCCTAGTAAATGTTAACTGTTCTTGGAAACAAATAAAAAATGACATAACGAAAGAAATTGGCTGCCATCTTCCTTTAAAACTTCCTCCCCTTCACTCTGTATAGTTTAATTCAGCTCAGACTTTAAAATCTATGGTTCATTTTCCAACTTTAACAACAACCAAAAGATACTCAATTCATACAAAGCTTGCAAGGGAAAAGCTAATTTCCAGAACACAGCAATAGATAGATAGACGTTTACATACAGCTTTTCCTACAAATTACTTGCCAGTTTAACCTTGTTGCGTCATTTACTGTAGGACACCATATTTCTGTATTCCTTTGTGGGAATGCTGCCATAGAGCCGCTCTCCATCCCTTATAGAGCGATGAATACATAACATTAAGGAAAATGTTTATACTTCATCTGTATCATAGAATCTAGTTAAGTTCATCAAGGCAAAAATGTTGGTATACACATGACTTTTCCACAACCTAATAGCATGGATGGTTTAACCTTTCCAAACATAAACAGGATTCATTCCATGGTCTCAGCCGTGCAGGGGAAATGAACACATGCCCTAAGAAAGCACTTCTTCTAGCAATGACTCTGAGTCTCAATGTGTGCTCTACATTTGCAATTCTTGGAGACCAAGAGGATCTTGGCTGCCATGATTCTTTGAGAGTGCATCGTGCCAGGCTGTGATGAGCTCATTCAGCTGGGGTCTCTGGCATCACAGGTAAAAGTATAAAAAGAAAATTAAAAGTGTTCATAGTTATGCAAACCCATCCTTTTTCTCGGAGTTATATATTGGGAAGAAAAAATGGCTTCCTCTTCTGTTTTATTAAGATGGATGGATGGATGGATGATGTTAGGTGCCATTGAGCCGGTTGCAAGTCATAACGATGTTATGTACATCAATGAAACACTGCCTAGTCCTGCACGATCCTTAACAATCATTGTTATGCTTGAGCCCGTTGTTGCAGCCACTGTATCAATCCATCTCATTGAAGGTCGTCTTCTTTTTCTCTGACCCTCTACTTTACCAAACATGATATTCTTCTCCAGGGACTGATCCCTCCTGATAACTTGTCCAAAGTATGTGAGACATGGTCTTGCCATACTTGCTTCTAAGTAGCATTCTGGTTGTACTTCTTCCAAGACGGATTTGTTCGTTCTTTTGGCAGTCCGTGGTATATTCCATATTCTTCGCCAACACCACAATTCAAAGACATCACTTCTTCGGTCTTCCTTATTCATCCTTATGCATATGAGGCGATTGAAAATACCATGGCTTGGATCAGGCACACCTTAGTTTTCAAGGTGACATCTGGGCTTTTTAATACTGTAAAGAGGTCTTCTGCGGCAGATTTGCCCAATGCAGTTTGTCTTTTGATTTCCTGACTGCTGCTTCCATGGGTGTTGATTGTGGATCCAAGTAAAATGAAATCTTCGACAACATCAATCTTTTCTCCATTTATCATGATGTTGTTTACTGATCCAGTTGTGAAGATTTTTGTTTTCTTTTTGATCTTCATCAGTAAGTGCTTCAAGTCCTCTTCACTTTCAGCAAGCAAGGTCGTGTCATCTGCATAACGCAGGTTGTTAATGAGTCTTCCCCCAATCCTGATGCCCCGTTCTTCTTCATATAGTCCAGTTTCTCAGACTATTTGCTCAGCATACAGACTGAATAGGTGTGGTGAAAGATGCGACCCTAATGTACGCCTTTCCTGACTTTAAACCGCACAGTATCCTCTTGTTCTGTTCAAACAACTGCCTCTTGATCTATGTAGAGGTTCCTCGTGAGCACAATTAAGGGTTCTGGAATTCCCATTCTTTGCAATATTATCCATTATTTGTTATGATCCACACAATAAAATGCCTTTGCATAGTCAATAAAACACAAGTAAACATCTTTTTGGTAGTCTCTGCTTTCAGCCAGGATCCATCTGACATCAATTATGATATTCCTGGTTCCGAGTCCTCTTCTGAATCTGGCTTGAATTTCTGGCAGTCCCCTGTCGATATACTGCTGCAGCCATTTTTGAATGATCTTCAGCAAAATTTTACTTGCGTGTGGTATTAATGATATTGTTCAGTAATTTCTGCATTTGGTTGGATCCCTTTCTTGGGAATAAGCATTAATATGGATCTCTTCCAGTCGGTTGGCGAGGTAGCTGTCTTCCAAATATCTTGGCATAGATGAGTGTGCACTTCCAGCTCTGCATCCATTTGCTGAAACCTCAACTGGTATTCTGTCAATTCCTGAAGCCTTGTTTTTCACCAATGCCTTTAGTGCCGCTTGGACTTCTTCCTTCAGTACCACTGATTCCTGATCATATACTACCTCCTGAAATGACTGACCACTTTTTTCTGGTATAGTGACTCTGTTTTCCTTCCATCTTCTTTTGATGCTTCCTGTGTCATTTAATATTTTCCCTGTAGAATCCTTCAGTGTTGTAACTCGAGGTTGATTTTTTTCTTCAGCTCTTTCAGTTTGAGAAATACTGAGTGCATTCTTCCCTTTCGGTTTTCTATCTCCAGGTCTTTGCACATGTTATTATAATACTTTACTTTGTCTTAGATAGATGATGGCTGGCTGGCTGGATGAATGGATGGGTAGATGGATGGATGGATAAATGGATAGACAGAAAGATGATAAGTAGGTAGACAGATAGACAGAGACAGATGGATGATAGACAGGGTTTTATTTAAACCGAAATGGCCTGAAGCCCTCGTAGGCTCTCTGGGCAATGAAGGTTGGTCAGCTGGTGATTTGTTATTCAAAACGTGGGATGTAGTAGATAAAAGCACCAAGTGCCAAGAAATTTTGTTTGTTTTGCTTTCGTTGTGCTGAAGTGTCCAAGTGTAATCCCCCAAGTGGCTGCCTCTTGAGTCTACAGGAGCCTCCAAACTCTTGATTGTCCTACTGAGATGGGATGGTGTTTTTCAGAAGAAAATCGAAATTTCTTGTTCCAGTCAGTCCCTATGGTAGATCATAAACATATCCAAACCATTTAAGAGGATGTAAAAACCAAGCATTTTGTATGAAAAACCAACTTGGTTTTAAAAAACTGATAGTGTTTCCCACCAGGGACTGATCAGGGAGCACTTACACTATGTCACTAAGAATAATAGTAACACTTCACACTATGACCTTTTAATATTGATTAATGTTAACATCACACATTAATGCTTCAATTCTCATTAATGATCATGTGTTAGACTATACCAGACAAGTTAGAAAATTAGGGTGACACCATATGCTACGTCATACTTGGTGCTAACCTAGGTGAAGGTTAGCCAGCGATGGCTCATGTCATAGTAATAAAACGCACATATAGAGCTGCTGCTAAAAAAAAAAAAAAAAAAAAAAAAAAAAAAAAAAACTATTGTGGTGTTTCTCTTACTTCAGTTCTTCTTCAGTGTCGGAGACTCTCTTGTCCCTGAGAACTGTGCCCCCTGTGAAGTGAGGTCTGATTGTCTGAAGACAGTCTTTGTACCCACCTAGGAGAGGAGGAAATGAAAGTCTGAGAATGTGCTGTTTACAAACGGTTCCCTCCACACGGCCTAGGTCTCTCCGCAACCAAATATGAAAACCCAGACGACTTCGCTCATCTCTACCTCAGACAGCAGAAGGAGAGGCTGGCTGTGGCAGCCGGCTATTAGAAACCTAACCTCACCAGCCAAACCTTTATTTCAAGGCCGGGATATCCACTCCGGAACCTCTGGAAGACAAGGAGAAAAAAGAAAAAGTGAAGAACCCAGGAGGACTCACGGTGTGTGTTAGAGATCACCACGTCATATACCAGCACCTGCTGAAACCCAATAGGATTTTCTACCGAGAGGTTCCGTGTTAAGCACCTTTGCTGTCCTAGGCGCCTGAACATTTCGTTTTAAAACTGTGGCCAGGACAACGCTAGGACCAAAGCTCATGCTGAGCCACCATGTAAACAGGACCAAACCGATCTCCTTCAGCCTAGTAACCCTGGGTCTCAGTACACAATCTCTTACCCACAATTCTGAATTCCGAAAACTTCTAAAAACCAAAAGATTTTGCACACTCACTTGGCAGCCAAACCCAACCTGAAATGACGTG